GATTACCATTCCCATTGAAGTTGTGAAACTTAGGTGGCTGATATCCCATTGCCATTCTTTAAGTTGTCAATTCTCTTGAAATATGTTTTTGAATACAAGAGAGTATTTTGAGAGGATCCGCTGTATTGAGCCTTGATGGTGTTTATTGCCATGACTTGGAGTTGTTGAACAGAAAGTGAAGCGATTGAACTGAGTTTTGTGATTGATCCTTCGGCAAGATGGCCTTCCCTTTGTTGTTATTTTTTACAACTAGGATCTAACTTGATTTAGCAGCATCTTGAGGTTTTTTATTTTCGTCTTTATTTCTGCCATTGTTTCATCCATAGTGCTTACATTAGTCATCATAACAAAGATCAAATAAGGGGTTATGATTAACAATAAATTCATTTTCAATAGATGTTTCTAGTAGCATCGTTAATTTGCTCGTAACGATGGGAGAAGTTGGATTTTCCCGTAGTTGGAATTCATCAAAGCAACCATGGGTAATATGACCCATATGAAGGTCGCGCATGATATGAAGAAGCCATTTTTAATACCATTACTTTTCTTGGAAAAATTTGAGTCTTATTATCTTGGACCTGTAGACACTGTATTTGGACCAACTCATTTTTATTTTATTCATTTATTATCATTATTTTATTTTACATCTTATTTTATTTTGGTTTAGTTTTTTTTATTAAGTTGTTTGCTTAGCAAATTAAATTTTTTTTTGTTTTTTTAAGTGAGTTTTAATTTAATTAGATTTGGTTTAAAGAATTTTGTTTTGTTAAAAGAAAAAGGAGTTTTATTTCAAGGTTTTTTATATTTTAAAAAGGATTCTGTCAAAGCTCTTTAATGTGTCATTCCTTCCTCCTCTTCCTCCTTTTTCTCTAATTTACCTACTTTACCAAAATAGTACCGTTACTTTTTGCGTATTTAAGAGGTACAGAACGCACACAGAGGGGAACAGAAGAAAAACCTGTAGATTTAAAATTTTGTTATCTTAGGAAAGCCTCTTTCTCTCCTTTAAACACCCATTAATTATTCTTTTTTTTTTTCTTTTCTCCTTCCTTTTTGATTCTCTCTCTTCAACCATGCATTTTCCCCTTCTTCCTTATCATTCTCAATCTCCCTTTCCCAAACTCACCCACTCCGACAACGGCAACAAACCTCCAGCGACGGTGCAAGCGGTGGCGGCGACACGAGCTCTGGCATAACAGATTCGGCGAACGATTGCAGCAGATCCAGCGAACAGATCCAGCAATTCCAAAGACTTCACCAACCTCCGGCGCAACCACGTGCAGTGGCGATTTCAGGCGGCTCACCTAGGACAACACCTCCGATACGAAGCTTTGCAGATCTAGACCCCAGCATTTCTTCACCCCCACAACACCTGCAACTTCCTGCAACACCACTCGAGCAGTAGACTACCGGTAGTGCGACCTCCGATGAGACATATCGAAATCCGACAGTACCCACTCCGACGACGACACTGATAGGACGCTAATCCCGCAGCGGAAACGGATCTTGTTCTTGAATTTTTTAGGAACAAAACTACGAAACAAACTAGGAAAATACAGGGGAATTAAGTATTACCTTTGATGAACAGTTCTTCAACAAACTCAATAGACACCACCAAATGATCTTCCTTACTATGTCTCTGGTGCCGAGTACTTGCTTCTGGGATCAACGATTTATGAGATCGAAAGGGAATTTGAGAGAGCAAAATCCAGAGAGAAAAAAAAAGTTGTTTTCTTTTTCAGATACCAGAGAGAGACCACTCTGTAGAACCATTCTGTTCTAAAAACCAAATGGTTATGTGGGACATCACCACTCCCGTACATTTTTCAAGGGTTGTTTTTTAAAATTTATTTAATTAACAAACACATTAATTAAACTAATTGATAAATTAATTTAATTAATCCATTAATTAATCATTAATCAATTAATAATTAACTCATTTAATAAATTTAATAATTAATAATTAATTAATTAAATGTAATATTGATTAATTAAATAAATAATTAACAATTAATTATTTATGTTTTAATTAAATATCACATATAGATTTGAATCATATTCAAAACTGGTATAATCTATGGTTTTAATATGAATCCAATTCATATTAATTATTTGAGTCTCATTAAAACATTTCTCTCATATTATATATACTATTAATCTTGAATCTTTATCCAAAATTAATATTTATATATAATGCATTGATATATATATATTCCCTTACATAATTTGAACATTTCAAATTATTTCATCATTCTTTATCCTCGTTTTACTCGTTGTGAGCTAGTAAGGAGACCTAATGGACTTGCAGATCAGAAGCTCCAACGATGTAAGATTAATCAGTCAAACTCATTGACCGAGTTAATCAACATTCGTTAACTACGGGTCACTCCACTAAAGACCAGTAGTTGCACTATTCTCACTGCAGAATATTTTTGTGTCCACGGATATACGACCATTAATGGCAAGTCAATCCTTCACGAGTACTTGTAACTCAAGCTGGGTCAAATTACCGTTTTACCCCTGAGTTACATCTTACTCTTTAAATACCACTACTCCTCTAATGAATAATATAGTTATTGTCCAACCAATAACCAAAAGTCTCTCTTGGGCCAGTGAGAGGGTGCGGTCCCTTGTTCAAGTCCCGGAGTCAGGATTTAAGAGAGCACTCATCTACTCCCTGAAAGTCGGGGAGGAGTGAATTCCATCTCCCCACTTGGTCTCGTCCCCAAAATGGTAGGAAATTGAGTCGGCGACTCGAGCCACTCTCACCCATACAGATCAAAGAATGAGCCTTCACGGGCAGGAGTCCATAACTCATTCAGGATTGAGAATGAGTTGCTTGGTCATCTTATGAAATAACAACAATCTGTTAGTCAACGGCATTACATCTAAAGATCGGCTATTTCGTGGTCCGGTTTTATACAAACTCATTGTATAGGATACCCCACTCGCACGTCTCCATACAAAGGACCTGGATCGGGTCGCCTGTAACATTTACAAAGTGGGCCGTATCCATAATGTTGTCAGGATAAGGTACCCAGCCTTATCCATATACTATAGACCCTTTAGGTTATTCCCAGGACATTATCCAATTGTATATCGATGGTATATCAAATATATACCCAATATATATATATATATTGTCCTGGTTACATGACAATAACCTTGGATGTTTAGTTTATTGGATTTAGACAATACATTACCATGAATTCAACAACAAATTGACTGAATAAAACTTTATTGAATATAAATTTGTTTTTACATGAATTACAAACTACGAGTTTAGGATAACACACCCAACAGACACGACATCTGGCGACTACGTCCAACATTTACCGCCGGTGACCCTCAAGGTGGGTTTTGTTTTCATTTTTTTTGTTTTTTTAAAGAAAGAAAAGAAAAGGGAAGTTTAATTCCAACAAGGAAAACTTTTTTGTTTTAAGATAAAAGAGAAATGGTTGATTTTTTTTTAAATAAGGAAAAATGTTTTGGTAAAAAGTATTTCTTTAAAATAAGGTAAAGATTTTATTTTGAAGAGAATTTTTGTCAAATAAAGAAAAAACGTTTTTTTTTAATAAAATAAGCTAGGTTTTTGTTAAAAAAAAAGGAAAGAAAATCTTTTAAGTTTATATAAGCTTTTTTATATTTAAAATTTGTTTTAAAATATAAAAGTTTTTTTTTTCAATTACAACATGAGTTTTTTTTATTTAAAAAATTTTTTTGTTTTATGTTTTTTTTAAATGTTTTTAAAATCAAATTTTTGTTTTTTTTTTAAATAAGCCTTTTTAAAAGTGAATAAAAGATTTTGTTTCAAATTTTATTTAATTTTATTTGATTTAGTAAAAAGTTGAGTTTAAAGGAAAAAATTTTCAGAGAAGTTTAAGAGTAAAATATTATAGGAAAGTAAATAAAATATTTAAAAGAAAATAAATTTTGTTTTAAAATGAATGAAACTTTTGTAGGTAAGAGTTTGTTTTTAAAATAAAAGATTTTTACAATAAGTTTGATTTTATGAATAAGAGGTTTTTTTTTTAAATAAGTTCGATTTTATAAATAAGAGATTTTTTTTAATAAATTAAAAAATTAAAACGAATTTCCAGTTTTATTACTTTTTTTAAGTAAAGGATTTTGTTTAAGAGTTATTTATTTATTTTTTAAGTAAAGTTTAGAAATGAAGTTTTGTTGTTTAAATACAAAATCAAGTTTATATTCTTGGGGTGGTAGATGACAAGAGCCTTGGATGTTGACACCCACCATCCAAGTTTTAGCCTTTACCTGCCTTGAAGTTTTTTTTCCTAATATTTTTCTTTATCATTTTTTTACTAAATAATTATTTCAAAAGCTCCGATGACAGGTGTAGACACCGTATTTGGTCCGTCTTAATTTTTGTTATTTATTTATTTATTTTATTATTATTTTATTAAGTTGTATTTTAATTGTTTTGGTTTAAAATATCATAAGTTTACTTTATTATTAGTTTTAAGGTAAAGTATTAATTAAATTAGAAAAATAGATTTTTGTTTAAAAGATTTTGATTTATTAAAGAAAAAAGATTTTATTAAAAAAAAAAGATTTTGTTTTAAGTAAAGAGATTTTGTTTTATTTAAAATTGGTTTTTATTTCCTCTTTTCCCTCGTCAAAGTCTGACATCTCCTCCTCCTTCTCCTCCTTCCTCTCCTTCCTCCCCTTCCTCTGATTTTTTTTTTTATTTTAGCATAAATTACCGTTGTTTCTTTAGCATTTAAGAGGGGAGGGGACACACAGAAAATGGGCAGCAGAGAGGGCACACGTGATGAGAGGAAGAACTATTATTTTTTGTTTCTCAAAAACCTATCTGTCTCTCTCTCCCACTTTATTTCTTTTTCATTTTATTTTTATTTTTCTTTATTTTTGCGGTTCATTTCTTCTTCTTCCATATTTCTCTCTTCAACACCCACTTTCTCTCTTTCTTTTTATTTTCTTTTATGTTTATTTTCTTTCTCTCTCTACCATTCATCTTTTTCTTCCTTTTTATTTTCCCTCTTTCTCACTCTCAATCCCCTCTCCCAAACTCACCCACTATACTCATACTCCCGACAACCTCCACGAATGGCAGCCAGGAAAGCAACCTCTGGCGATCCGACTCCCACCAGTACAACAACCTCCAACACGAACGCGCCGACGATGACGATCTTTGGGGACGATCCGACATCTCGCAAAGCTCTACAATCCCGATGGACAACAGTATTCCACGAATCGGACTACCCACCTACAATAGCATGAGATCTCTAGCAACTACAGACTCCAGTGACGGCGCAGATTCATTCCGGCGACCTCCAGCGACGGTGACACGACCCACAAGCAGCAACAACTCTCCGGCCGAGCACCTCCAATACGAACGTATCGGCGGCGACGATCTCCGGCGACGATGCGACATTGCACTATCTCACAACCTCGACGATCTCTAACCACGACCGTTTCTCCTCCGACTACCTTCATCGATCATTCTGGTGGGTTATGAAGAAAGGAAAGGTTTTTTTTTTTTAAATGGAAAATATTTTACTTTATTTGTTTGTTTAAACAAGTGAAAAAATTTTCTTTTTTAAAAAGGAAAGATTTTTACTTTATTTTATTTGTCTAAATAAGTAAATTTTTTAAAAGATGTTTTAAAAGGAAAGCTTTTTATTTTAAAGTTTTAAACATTTTTAAATGCAAATAAAATAAAAGGTTTGTTTTAAGGAAGGAAAATCTTTTATATGAAGTGTTAAGTAAGTTTTTGAAAATAAAATAAAATATTTTGATGAATAAATTTTGTTTTAAAACAAAAGATTTTATTTGGTAAATCAAGACAAGTTAAAAAAAAAGATTTTGTTTTAAGTTTTGAGTGTTTTTATTTAAAATAAACAAAAATTGAGTTAAAAAGAAATTATTTTAAATTAAAAGATTTGTTAAATAAGTTTTAAAAAATGAATAAGAGATTTTTTAAAATAAGTAAAATAAGATATTTTCTTTAAAAACGAATTTTAAACTCTAAATAAATAAAAGGTTTTAGTTTTTTTTTTCCTTTTGAATAAAAGATTTCGTTAAGAGTTTTTTTTATAGATAAAGTTTGAAAATAAAAACTTTGTATTTTAAAAAAGAAACTTAAGTTGTATCCTAAGGTTCTCGACATCGACATGGAGGAGAAAGTCGATTTTTCCCCATATCGTCGATATGTCGACTAAATGTCGCAAAATTATTATTATTTTTTGTGTGTGTGAAACATAATATATATGGGAAGATTTTGTAGAGATGATGAGTGAAGTGGAAGTGGAAAGCCTCGCATGGGATTTTGTTTTCCAAATTTTCAACAATGGAGTCTTCGTTCCTCGAATAAGGAGAATTGGCAGTACTGCTCAAACAATTGAAGTTCAAACTCAAACCAACAAGCCTAAAGAAGAAATAGAGGTACAAAAAGCTCCCACCTCTACTACGTCTATTGTTCTAATGGCGTTCACCTACTCAATATTTATTGTCGCTACCAGTTTGCGATGTGGAGCAGCCGACTTCCTTTCCAAGAGGAGAAAAATAGAGTCGCCACCTGTCTAAATTTATAGGGTGTGACTGGCCACCTATATGCAGGATAAGTTAGTCTGCACGAAAAAAATATGGGTTTGGGGGTCTATTGTGTATGGGGAAGATATTAGCACCCCACAACACTTTCAATGAACGATAATTTATTTTTCACATTATTTTCAAGAAATGACATTCAAAGAAAAGAATTTTATTTTTATTTTTAAATGTCCCACGTTTTATTGATCATTTTTTATAAGGTAAATAATGAACAATAATTATGAGTGGCCTAAAGTCAATAAGAAAATTTTGTTTATTTGAATTTAAATTGGTCTCCCAAAATAAATTCATCACCTCAAGAATATTAGGGAATCGACCTCTCAAATTCTCCAATCTCCATCATAGGAAATTTTTTAGGAAAATATTAAAATAAGATTTAGAAAAAGATTTTATTTTTGACTTTTAGAAATAGTGCTTTAAAAAATGTCAACTTTTTAGGAGGAGGTGCCTTTATAAAGATGTTTTTTTTTATCATTTAAATGTTTTTTTTAGCAAAATTTTCCTTATAAAAGAAGATTTCAAAAACGAAATGTATTTTTATTTTTTAAAGAAAAGATATTTATTTGCTTCAAAATATGATTTTTTCTTAGGAAATAGAAATGCAAACAATTTTGTATTAGTATTTCAATTACTTTTTAAAACCAAACAAATGATAAATGAGAAAACGACTAAAAATACATCATTCCATTAGGAAACATATTAAAAATAATCAAATCTTGGCATCCCGAAATATTGATCTTTACCCTCAAGAATCTAAGAGCATCAGCCTCCCGAACATTTCAAGGTTCCATCGTTGGGAGGTTTCCTTTTGTAAAATTTGAGTCGAAGATATTTAATAAATCAAGAAAAATAACATTTATTGTATAATATTACATAATATATACATTTTCCAAATATCTTACATATAATCTAAATGAACATGTTAGAAATATAATCAGTAAAATCTCATCTTACAAATAGTTCAAGCAACCATAATATGAAATTGGCAATGGGGAAAAGGAAAAAACAAGATGAAATAAAACAAGATAAGAAATATATCCCGAAAATAATGTCGAAATAATTAAACTTGTACTTGGAACATAGGTAGGTAAAAAAAAAAATATGATGAAGTACATCAACCTACTTTATTCGGCAAGAAAATGGAAACTTACCGTTTTACAAGCAAACTCCGATTCTTACCTTCTCCTTCAAATGCGACGCGAGTCAAACGATGAAGAAGAAAATTGTGGAGAAAATAGTGATAGAACTAAAATTGAGAGAAAGTGAATAAGGAGAGGGGTAAAAAATAAAACAAAAGTAGTAACAAAAAAAAAGGAAGATGATGAGAAAGTTATGGTGAGTGGAAGAGAGAAAATAAATAAATAAAAATAGAGAACGAGAGAGAGACCGTGTGGTGGAATATGAGAAACGAGTGAGGTGGGGTGAGGTAGGAGTTTGTGGGAGAATGATGAAATGATAATCGAGATAAAAGAAAAGGAAGAAAACTTTAGAAGAGAGCCAAGAATAAAAATCAAAACTAGTAGACCTTTTTGTGATGTGTTTCCTCCGTTTCCCTAAACCCAGCTACCTAGCTCATATTTATAGTGTTTCAAAACCCTAATTTACAAATTGAAAAAATATTTTCATTCATTACACAATGAATCAAATCTTATGATTTTTTTTACAAATTTTGATTTTTTCCCAAATTATGCTAAATCAAATTTAAAGTTTTTCCATATGAGTAAGATTTTGTTTTATTTTTATTGAAAAGATTTTATTTTGAGAAAATATAAAAATTCACATTTAATAAAAAAATATTTATGATTTTGTTACTTATTTTTATTTTATTAAAAATAATTTGATTTTGAAAAAAAAAAGATAATAAGGAAATCGATATTTAAACCAAAAACTTTTTACCTTTTTTATTTTTTTATTTTTTCATAAAACGAACCAAAAAAAAAAGAAGAAAATATTTCCCACAAAATATAGACAAAAATTATATTGGAAAATTACTATAAATTAAGTAAAAAAAAAGAATGATGAAATGGAATAGTGGACAAATTTAGGGGTCTACACTTATATATTTAGATATGATGGTTAAAAGTGAACAATTATAGGCAAATTAAACTACAATTAAAGTTTACTTTACTTATTCAAATAATTTCCATCAATCTTCATTAAAGAAAAAAAATCGTGTTTGGATATTTCTATCAACTTCGACATTTTCATAAGTTAAGATAGTCATATTATTACATTTAATAGTTAAAAGTGATCAATTATAGGTTAATTAAGATACAATTCAAGTTTTATTTACTAATTCAAAAAATTTCCATCAATTTCCACAATTTCCATGATTTTTCCCGAAATATCTGTCGACATTGACATGTTCATAAAATCGGGACCTCGATGTTTCCATCGACATGTTAAGAATTAGTGCAAACACATGTTAGTTTATGTTAGTGTTTCCACTTTGTAAGAGTTATGCTTGATGAATAATTTGTAGTTGTTATGAGTTAATTAAGTAGTGGGAAGAATGGATGGAAGTTGAGAGAGTTTGTAGCTTAGTGGCTTAATGAATTTATGATGTTGGTTTAGAGAGATTTTAAAGGGTAGTCGCCTAAGTAATGGGTTAGTGGCCTAAGTAGTGTGTTAGTAATCAGTTTTCTTATTTCTTATAAATTCGTATAACAATTCTCAATTCAATGAATAGAAATTCTTCATTCATACAGTTTCTCTCTTGCTTCCATTCTATTGTTCATCTTCGTTTTTGTTACATGGTATCAGAGCAACCAGGTTATTTTTCCTGTGCTTGAGTTTACTGCTCATTGTTTGAGTCTAGTGCTCGTTGATTGAGTTTAGTGCTCGGTGTTTGAGTTTAATACTTAGTGAAGATGAACGATTGAACCAATATTTATGTGTAGACAAGCTTACCAGTGACAACTATAGCTATTGGAGGTTATGTATGGAAGCTTTTCTACAAGGTCAAGATCTGTGGGATCTTGTTTCTGGTGATGATACGGAAATTCCAGAAGATACTCAGGAGAATGCTGAGGCGCGAAGGAATGGAAGATCAAGTGTGGCAAAGCATTATTTGCTTTGCGAAATTATATTGGCAAGGAGTATATCGAGCATGTTCGTCACGAGAAGTCTCCAAAACAAGTGTGGGATACACTTGAAAGGTTGTTTACTCAAAAGAACACGACGATATTGCAGTATTTTTGGATAACGAACTTTTTGGAACAACTCAAGATAATTTGTCGGTTTCAGAGTACTTTCTGAAAATTAAATCTTTGTGTTATGAAATTTCAGAATTGGATGAGGAGGAGCCCATTAGTGATGCTCGTTTGCGTCGTTATCTCATTCGTGGACTGCAAAAAGAATTTATGCCATTTATTTTTTTGATACAAGGTTGGTAAATCAACCTTCTATCATTGAGTTAGAAAATTTGCTACCAGATCAAGAAGCCTTGGTGAAACAAATGCTTGGCGACAACAAGCGGTCTTCTCCCGAGGTAGAAGGTATTTTTTATACAAGAGACAAAGTAGAAAGAAATTATGTTTCTGAATGTTCTTCAGATGGTAGCAAGTATTCTAGAAATAAAAGGTAGTCCAAAGGTAATTCAAAAGGATGTTTTAGGTGTGGAAAGCTGGGACATATCAAATGTGATTGTCTGGTAAAGGTGGTATGCAGTCGATATGGGAAACCATGCCATATTAAATAAAATTGTCGAGTGAAACTTAAAGAAGCAGAAGCATATGTTGTACAGGAAATTAAAAAAGCCTGAACAACTCAATTGGGAACATTGTTTATCAAATGAAAGTTATTGATCAACTCATTAATTGTTGTACTAATGATTCTTTTGATTATAGTGAGGATTGGTCTGATGGTTCTGGTTGTTTTCATCATACTACTGAAGATGTATCTCTTCTTTATAATATTTGTGGAAGAAGAGTCAATGTAGCGGCTGATAATTCCTTACATCTAGATGTGGAAGAAGGACACGTCAATATTGAAAGTTATGAATTGGGCAATGTTTCTCGTAGAAGTGGTTCCTACGGTCCAAATTTGAAGGAGAATTTTGCTTCAGTCTCTCAGGTTGCTGATGCTGAGAGTGATTCTGGAAACAAGTTGAATTGTGGTAGAAATTCTGCTCATTCTTGTGCTAAAGATGGTACAAGCTTAAGTTGTTTAAATAATCCGAAGGTTAGCCTTATAGCTGGACTTATTACTGGGTTAACATTTGTACTTTTAGTCTGATTATTTTTCTGCAACGATAACTTTGTAGATGTTGCAGGTGAAGTTGATTGAAAAGTTTCTTTCAATAAGTTGAAAGGATTTGCATGGAAAGCGAACTTTAAAGGAGACGCTTTCCAATATGAGGATTTGAGTGTTGTCTACCGTCCTCGAGAACTTAAGCTCGGGAAACTTGCTTTGGATTGACCTACTCGAGGGTGTGTGTTATTGGACACAACTCAAGGTTTCAAGTATTTTTGTGAAAGTTGCAATCCAAAGATTATTTATCAAGGTGTTGTGGTTGCTAATGTATTTCTTGAGGAAGATTTTGAAGTTGTTGCTGGTGTTTTTGGCTTAGCAAAGCTGGTTGGTGTTAGAATGACTAATGTCACTCGAGCTTGGGAAATAATAAGTCATATTGAATTGAAGTATTTATTTACTGGAAAATCTTCAGGAATGATGAATATTTTTTGTTATGACATGATTTTTTTGGACCTTGTTACATGTTAGATTGATTTCTTGTACTTTGAGGAAGAAAATGATGTTTTACTCATCAGCTATGTCAAGAAATTGAAAAGGGAAAGCAACTCAATGCGACTGTGGATTGTTTTCGTATGGTGGACACAAAAGTGATTACTATTCCTATAGAGTAACATTAAAGTAATCAGAAGTGCACAATGTTGGTTGCATGTATCTGTATGTTTGCACTAAGGGGAGCGTTAAGAATTAGTGCAAACACGTGTTAGTTTATGTTAGTGTTTCCACTTTTTAAGAGTTATTCTTGATGGTTAATTTGTAGTTGTTATGAGTTAATTAAGTAGTGGGAAGAGTGGATGGAAGTTGAGAGAGTTTGTAGCTTAGTGGCTTAATGGAGTTATGGTGTTGGTTTAGAGATTTTAAAGGGTAGTTGCCTAAGTAGTGGGTTAGTGGCCTAAGTAGTGTGTTAGTGATCAGTTTTCTTATTTCTCTATAAATTCTTGTAACAATTCTCAATTTAATTAATAGAAGTTCTTCATTCGTACAGTTTCTCTCTTGCTTCCATTCTATTGTTCATATTCGTTTTCATTACAGACATCGACATTTCGAACATTGCTTGCGTGCCTCAAATTAAAATTGATTTTATTATTTTTTATCATTATTTTTACTAAATAATTATTTCGAAAACCCCAATGACGGACATTGGAAACTTCCAATATTCCCGAGGTAATAAAATTTTTCTAATGACCTTCGCGCCACTCATAATTATTAGTTCATATTTTATAGTAAATATGAAGTAATAAAGTATGAGACATTTAAATAAAACAAAAACATATTTTTCTTTGGACCAAATAATAGGAAAATCAATGATGAAATATGGTACCGTTTTCGAACCAGTGTTGTAGGGTGCTAACCCCTTCCCTATGCTCAATCGACTCTCGAACAAAAAATTTGTTTTTGCAGACCGTTTTTTTTTTAAATAGGTGACCAATCACACCTTAGAGATGGTTGGTGGCAACTCCAAATCCTTATCTCGAAAGAGACCCTTCAGGGGATGACGTCGGCTGCTCCGTGTCACGATGACGTTGTGACAACGGGAATTGGAACCTTTCAATATTCTTAAGGTGATAAAATTTTCTAACGGCTTTCGGGCCACTAATAATTATTAGTTCATATTTTATAATAAAGTATGAATGAATAAAATATGGACATTTAAATAAAAACACAAACATATTTTTCTTTTTGACCAATAAAATATAATAGGATAATTTTTGACAAAATTTTGTAACCGTTTTCGAACGGGTGTCGTAGGGTGCTAACACCTTCT